CCCCAAAACCCCAAAACCCCAAAACCCCAAAACCCCTAGGACTAAATTCATGATTGAATATAATAAATTCTAAATATAAATGGAGTCATCACCCAGTTCCATGGATTGAATGCACAACCATTCTGATGGTCGTAATGAGCTTAAACAGCAGCAAGAGAGCGATAATCCTCAAGAGCTAGAGCTGGAACAACAAACACCTCAGACTCTTAAGGACTTTATGAAAAAATTCAAAAGTTTGAAGTTGGCAATGTTAGAAGAGAAAAAGATGCTCAATGATGAAGAGGTCTGCATAGAGTCTAAATCCAAGGCAAGATTACTAAATGCTTATGACCAATTGAAATCAATTCAAAATCAACTGGTAAACTATTGCCATGAAAAATTATAACTTGAAGATACAGTTAATCAATTAATAATTTATCATATTGGCATAAAACTAAATTACTCCCGATTCAAAAGTGATATTGATCATGCAATAAAACTCCTAAAAAATTCTGAAAGATACTGAGCCAGATATACATCCATTTAACTCTGATGGTACGGGTATAAATTGTAGTTCCGAAATAAAAATACTTAATAACAAAATTCTCTGGGTCTAATAAGTATTTTTATTCTATAACAACCACGTATATTTTCAACCATATAAGAGCACAATGTGTGGACTCTACTTAAACATTGCTAAGGAAAAGCTGCTCTTTACAGAATCAGAGAAGATAGATTTCAAAGCATCACAAGAAATTCTCTATCACACTAAGCCTCAGTCCGGACAGCGTACCGTTGAGTATTACATTTGAAACCTCTAGACCTTCAAAAGCAGGACCTTAAAATATTATTAAGAAAGTAAGAGCCACTGTCACGTATCCAGTTATAATGGATTGGTAAATTCTGGAGAACTTATTCTCAGGGTCTCATGAACTTAAAGATTTGCCTAGCCTTGAAATATAATTTATTTATAACTTCGCTATCCATCGAATACATTAACAGGAAGAATTGTTCTGCTGTTAGAAATTTCTTACAGACTGTATACACAAAAAGGTCAACCGCATCGTGCTTAAATGCTGTTCAGGCCTATCATTAAGTATTGATTACCATCTACGTGGCATTATCTCTTCTGGCTCTAAGATTTATTCAAATAAAACAAAAATGCCAGTGTACCGAGAGAAATTAACCTTCAAGATTTCATAATCTTCCCAGAAGTCATTGATGAAACTTCTTTCTGAATGCAGGATGATTCAGCATCTCAGATTCTCGAGCTGCCAGATTATTATCAGAAATGTCCCCGACTTCGGCCATTCCTTAGATTGAAGTAAAATCATGAAACTAAGCTTCTTTCAAACCTCAATTTTAGACCAGTCTGGTTCAGAAGCCTATGAGAGTTTGTTCATTGGTCTAGCAAAGTCAGACGACTTCAGACGTAATCTCAAGTGCTTGGAGGCACTTATTACCAGCACACAAACAAAGCTTACAAGGATATTCTACGAGTACAAATTTGGGAGAAATTAATGGAGCATTCATCCATGCTCTGATTAATTCTGTATTTTCAATTCGAATACTAGCTTTGGGGTTTTGGGGTTTTGGGGTTTTGGGG